ACAAGAAACTTTTGAGCTATTTCTAATAACCAACCAAAACTATGACAATAATTTGATTTCATCCACGACCTTCCCCAACTTGAAATATATCATTTTTGAATAAGAAAGTGTTTCTTTTACACCACAACACCCAACAAACAGCCAACCAGACCACCAACTTCTTATTAGAGGGGATTCTCTCACTCACACGACCCCAGAACCAACAAATATGTTCCAAAATCCCTACAGAAAGGATGTAATGCAACAACATTGACTAAGGCATGTGATACCAAACTTTACTGATGAACACTGAGTCATCACCCTCCAAATATCTCTACCATAGGATCGATTCCCGCTTGGAACCAGAGCACTTCACAAAAACACACTCAATCCACACAATGGGATTGAGGCCATCATTGGACCACCGATCTTACATCGTTGGACCATTGTACTTACATATGCCATAAATATATGATGCATGCCATATAATATAATACGATCACTGCTAGTCAAATTGCATCATCATTTATAATATAACTCTGACGTGCGTTATTCCCCCAGTTCTCAGCTTCTCCTTCCAGCATATGAGTGCCAAGATGCACCTTTTGATCCTCCGTGCAAATCACCACTCGAAAAATCTTTTCAATCCCCTTAAGAAATTATCTTTTCAATACGGAAGATCCCAAAATATACTTCTATTTGTCCAATTGTGGGTGACGCCGTATCCTTCAATTCGGCATGCTTTGCCAGTATCTGTAAATTTTGGTAGTTCACATACTTGGTTCCATATAACCCCTGGTGGCAATCGAGGCGAAGGCAAATCTTTCTCTCGTACATCTTTTTTAAAATTTGTCTTGTTTCTTCTATATGGATGATTTGCTGGTAGGAATCTGCGGTGACAGTCAAACCATGAGCTTTTCCCACCTTTATCCAACGTAAATGCTTTGGTGTATCCCATGCAATGCGGACAACCCATTTTTCCATGCGTACCCCAACCAGACAACATGCCATATGCTGGAAAGTCATTAAGGGTCCACATCAAGGCAGCTCGTAATGTGAAGTTCTGTTTACGGGATATATCATAAGTCAATTCTCCAATCCACATCTTCTTCAAATCATCAATTAAAGGTTGTAAGTACACATCAATTCCGGCTTTTGGACTGTGCGGGCCTGGAATAACACACGTCAAAAACATGTATGGTTTTGTCATGCACATCTCAGGAGGGAGGTTGTAAGGTGTTACAATAACTGGCCAACAAGAATACGCACTTCCTGACGCTTGCACGTATGGGGCAAATCCATCAGAGCATAATCCAAGCCTGACATTTCTAGGTTCTGCAGCAAAATCTGGATGTGCCCGATCAAAGTGCTTCCATGCCTCACCATCAGATGGATGTCGCATAGTGCCAGAACTTGTTTGGTTTGTATGATGCCATTTCATTTGACTTGCACTGTGCATTGAAGCAAACATTCTTTTTAACCTTGGTATTATAGGAAGATAAAACATGGATTTTACTGCTACACGCTTTTGCTTGCTGTTAACGGCTCTACTGCGAACTTGATATCTTGGACTATTACAAAACTTACACTCCTCTAACGATCCATCTTGAGTACCAAACTCATTGTCATAAAACAACATGCAACCGTTAATGCAACAATCAATCTTTCTTACTTTTAAACCCAACTTCGACACCCACTTCTTTGCATCATAATAACTTGTAGGCAAGTTGTCTTTCGTAGCGGTGGAGTCCAACATTATTTTTGCAAAATGTTCTAGACATTGATCAGAAACATTCCAATTTGACTTGGCGGCCAATAATCTCACACACATTGATAGCTTCGAGTCTGACGACCCCTCAAACAACGGCGTATTCATCTCGTTCAATAATTGATAAAATCTTTGCGCTTCCTCATTCGGCAACTCTTCCCCGTCAAAATCTCCAAGTTCATCATATGTCACGTTCACACCAAAAGCATCCTCAACCATGTCACCGATCAAATTAAAGTTCTCCTCATACTTCATAACCGGTCGACTACTTGAAGCATGCATGTTGCTAGTCTCTGGTACATTAACCGGTAGTTCTTCACCATTATACGTCCAAACCCAATAATTTTCAATGAATCCCCTTCTATGCAGATGACGTGTTACTTCCTCTGGGTCACTAATTATTGGTCTACATTCACATTTAAGACAGGGACACCTAACCCCTCCTTCGCTTCGACAACAATCCTGAGCAAACGCCCACTTAATAAATCCATCAACTCCTACTATAAAATTGGGTTTAAGTCCACTTCTTCCTGGATATGTTCTATCGTACATCCAACTGCGATAATACCGATAATATTCCATACTGCACATTTATACAATCATTGTCTTTTTCATTAGAAATATTAATCAACTTAATAATATTATTCTTAAACTATTTAATACTATTCTTAAAAATATAAATTTTGCTTTTTTATATATATACTAACATATAAATAAATATTCAAATGTAAAATATATAATTTTTTATTACATAACAATAATATCAAAAAACAATAATATAACATATTTACTTTTTATTATATATACAACAATAATATTAGAAAACAAATAATAACATATATACTTTTTATTATATATATAACAATAATATTAAAATAATAATATAATATATATACTCTTTTTTTAATTATGTTTTTTATAAATTCTTATTTTAATATATAATTTTTTTTCATATCTTTAACATATAAATAAAAAAATAAAACTATTATAATAAATATAATAACATTTTTGTTTTTAAATATGTTATTAAATTTATGTGTTAACATATATATATACATCTATAAAAAATAAGACTTTTAATTTTATGTTTTCTAAAATTTTTTATTACCAGTACATATACTACTAACAAAATACATATACTCCCTAACCACAAAATACATATACTACTAATCTATATAATACATATAAAATATAAAAAAATGCATAAATACCTCTATATAATTTCTTCACTTAATTTGCTTCTTCTTGTATAGCTCTTGGTGTTCTTCTTCAAATTTCTCTACAAATAATGAACAAATGACCAAATACTCTTTTTAATATTTATTACCAGTATAATAAATAATGAACAAACGAAATACAAATTTATCAAAATATGAATACCTTATTTTTCTTCAACAATTTGGGATGGAGGAAATTTGATTTGGGAATTTGGGTTTGAGAGGAAGAAGAATGGGTTTGAGAGGAAGAAGAAAGGAAGAGGAAAGGAAGAAGAAAGGAAGAGGAAAGGAAGACAACGCTGCTGTAACTTTGGAGATGTAAACGTCAAGTAGCGACGTGACTGTCACGTCGCAACATTGCCACGTGATATTCACGTCGCTACAAACTAAACAGAAATATTATTCTCTTTCTCACTCTGCAACCCTGTCATCAACCAACTTTATTTTCCCCCCTTTAATGTAGCGACATGGCTATCACGTCGCTACCAAATTTCAAATTTCCCCCTTCTGTAGCGACGTGTAAGACACGTCGCTGATTTTTTTACTATACAAACTTCTCTGACTTGCGTTCCGTATCATTAAAATATGTTTGCGATGTGGTTATCACGTCGCAACTGCATTTATTACTCACGTGATAACTACGTCGCTAATATATGTCGCAAATAAGAGTATTTTTTTGTAGTGTATCAACATTTATCTAATTTTTGTAATTTTAGTAAAGTACGAGTTACATGGTAGTAATTACTTTCAAAATTTTATTTCTTCAACGTAGTGCATTCTTTTTTGAGTTAAGAATATAACTTTATTTCTCTTTGTTAGATTATTTAAAATAAAGCTTTTATACTATTTTTCTGTCCTAAAGTCTTAGTATATAACTTTCTTTTGATAATATTATTTGGTCCTACATTGTATGTGTTTTTTCACACGAGAAAAAAACACATCTTCCATTTCTATAGTAACATATTTATTAATTATGAGATTGCTTAAAAGTTTAAATTTTAATCAATATTTATCTATTATTTCATGAACATACTAGATGCAAAGGCATAAATACGAAGATACAAAAATATTCAATATTCAAGGTTCTAAATTGATTAACATATAAATTATTTGAATGTTTTTTTAGCACTAATCATATTTTAAAAAAAACATAAATAATTATGTTTCGGAGAAAATTACGCAAATAATTATATTTCTAAAAAAGTGAATTAAAGAGGAGGCGTCACTTGAATTGGCATCTCCTATATATTTTTCAAACTTTTTCTGTTATTTGTGGGTTTTCCTACAAATTTGATATAATCTGCAGACTTATCTGCGATTTTTCTTATGGAATTATCTGTGGAAAAATAGTCTGCAATTAAATCTACAAGTAAATTTGCAGGAAAAGTCAAATTTGCAGAAAAATCCACAAGTAAATAGAAAAAATTGAAAAAAAATTTAGGAGATGGTTAGGTGCCATCTCACTTGACGTCTCCTTTAAAAAAATCAATGCACGAGCCATCTGATATAACTACTGCATTATAACGTTTTCTGAAACATGATCATTTACGTAAATTTCTCCGAAACATAGTTATTTACATATTTTTTTTGAAAACATGGTTATTGTTAAAAAAAATTCAAATTATTTAATTGGTTATAAAGAAAACTTTTTTAATGAATAATTTTATTTTGGTATTAATAATATTATTCAATTATATCAAAAATAAATTTATAAATTTATTATATTTTGATATGAGAAAAAGTTATTTATTAAGTTATATGGACATCTAAATAAACAAAAAATCGGGTATAATTTTAAGGCAATTGTAACACCACATTTTTTATAGTTGACGTTAAAGAAGGATATCACTCAAAGTCATGCAGACATCTAACTACAAATTATTAACCTTTTGTGATAAATTTTAAGTGTCACAAAAAATCAAATTTTTTTGTAGTGACTGAACAGCCACCCAAACATTAACAACCGAAATTCTCGAAGCTCAAACACAATTTGCAATATTTTAATTTGATACTTGATCTATTAAAGTGATACAATATCATTCGTGCCTTATTTTCATTTTCTTTAAGGAACAAAACTCATGACCTGATACAACAACATAGAGTATTACCAAAAGTTTCGCAATGTCCACCTGATTTATATCCTTTTCTCTTACAGTCTTGATCGCAGTTTGGAGAACAAACCGCAGAACAACAAAATGAAAGTGGCCAACCCGGAGCACATGTTTCATCTAAAACTGTTGCTGGAGTCTCCAAACTAGTAACCAATCCTGAATCAAAATATAAGTTAGTAAATTGCTTATGAAATATACAAGTGAAAGATACTAAAAGAGAAATATTTCTCATCACCTGAAACCAACACCAAAGCAATGCATGAAAAACCTAGAAGATAAGATTGATAACTGTGAAAAGCCATTTTTTTCTATCGTATATTTTATATTTTGTAAGTAAAATCAAACCCATTTCCATTATATATATAGACTTGGAAAATGTATTGTTTAAAATTATTATATTTGTTATACATAATTTACATTATATTTGATAGAGAAAAGTTGACATCAAATGTTATTAGTATTATTTTAACTATATTACCATTGGCTGATTTTCTATATTCAAAACTTTATTCGACCTCAACTAATGGTAATGGTTAAAATAATATTAATAAATAAATTCAACTTCAACTTTATTTGAGCTGAAACTAGACTCGGTTGAAATTTGACTCAAGTTTTAAATAGATTCATTTTAAGTTTATGAACAAATCATATATATATATATATATATATATATATATAATATATATATATATATATATATATATATATATATATATATATATATATATATATATATATATATATATATATATATATATAATATATATATATATATATATATATATATATATATATATATATATATATATATATATATATATATATTATATATATATATATATATTTATATATATATATATATATATATATAAAAGTCAGGATTCATTGTTATCCGGTGTAAATCTAAAATACTAACTTATATCAAATCTCAATTGTTAATAGAAATAAATCAAACGATGATATATATAGTCTATTTTTTAGAAAAAAGAAATGATTATATATTTTTATTTTTTATTTCATTTAATATGACCTTTTAATCAATATAATTTATTTATTTTTTAAATATTAAAGGATTTTTTTTTAGATGAGATTTTCTTTAAAAATTTCTTCTTTCTTACTCATTATTTTTTTCTTCATATTTAGAGTTTCAATTAAAATTTTAAAATATTTTTAATATATATTGATAAAATAAATTTATAATTTTATCTCTCAATATCTCTTTATTAGTTTGGAAATTTCTTTCTATCTCTCTACCTATAATTCTCTCTTTATATTATAATTTTATTCTTATAGAATTATGCTTTAACACAAAAATTAATATAATTTTAATTATGGAGAGGAATTTGTTCTACAAAATTACGATATTTATAATCATAAATGATTATTTTTTATAAATTATATTATTTTACAACTCTCTTTCAAAAATTCCAAGAAAAAATGTTCAACAATAAAATATTGACTATAAAAATAACAACAACAACAATATTAATAATAATAATAATAATAATAATAATAATAATAATAATAATAATAATAATAATAATAATAATAATAATAATAATAATAATAAAATAAAACTTTTTTTTATATTTAATAAAACATTATATTCAATAATTTTTATTTAATTGTAGCTTAAATATCTTAATAAAAAACAAATACGAATTTTCACAATTTAATACTATTTTTTAATGCTTAATAAAATTATATTTTTTAAAGAAATTAATGGTTTTAAAAATATTAATTTTTACAGCTTTTTCTACTAACAATTTAACAACCATTTTTTATTAAAAAACTATTTTCTAGTAAATAATACAATATGTATTTTACTAAATAGTTATTCAACCGTTGTTTCAAAAAATTCTATGAAAATACCTATCAAAGAAAATGAATAAACTTTTAATATAAAAAGAGAATTAGAGGTAGAGAGATAGAGGGATGTTTAAAAAGAAAGAGTGATAGAAAGATACTATATTTATAATATATATTAGAATAATTTAAAAAAACTAAATTTATAATTTCTAAATTAAAAAATTTAATTAAATTCTAAATATCGAATAAAAATAATAAGTGAGATAATTTTTTTAAGAAAATGTAATTTTGAAAAACAAATCTCCTTTAAAATTGAAAAGGAAAATAAATTATATTTTATAAACAAAACTAATTCAAAATTTAATAATAGATATAGACCATTAGATTAAATAAATTAAATA